TATTATCGCTTTTGTTATCGATATTTTTTGCTTAGTGTGTGCTTTTGTTTTTTTACTTGGATATGCTCTTAACCATACCACGTATTCTACGTTTAAATTTAGCGGCTGTATCTCCGATACAGCCTGCAGGCCAAGGCGAAGGCGCTGGACTGTTCCTTTTTTTTTTTGATTGTGTTGCTTATTGGCCGTTGAGTATAATTTAATAATTATTTTTGAGCTATAGGCCGTATGTTAAATAAAACATTAAATGTTTTTCTGTTTTATTTACTTTTTATTTTTATTTTGGTCGATATTTCGCCTTCAGTCTGAAGGCATCTTCAGGATATTAGCTTTGTCGAGAAAAACATTTATTGTTTTATTTAACATACGGCCTATAGCTCAAAAATAATTATTAGATTTTTTTTATTGAAAGAATTGATCAGCATAGTGATACACCTCGACTTAATAAAAATATTTTAAGAGATACCTATTTAAATTGAGTAGAAAATTAAAGCAAACAATTCGTCCAGAAAACAGCAATCAGGGCGCATACCGCCCATTGTGCTGGTTGCCACCTGTCTAAAAAATCAAATTCAACTTGAATTAAAAGTACTTTTTTTTACTGTTAGGCGAAAGGGGCTTACCAAGGTTGTAGTTTGAAAAGTGTTACCATCTATTTAAAAAGTCTAATTTAAATTAATTGTTCGCAATCAATTTGAAAATTTTAAATATAGATGCCAAACGAAAGATTGTTTCGGAACATTTTGTTTGAAGATTTTGAATATTATTATTACAAGAGTTTACCTGTTTAAAAACTAAATTCAATAAATTTAAATTATTATAACAATATATTTAAATTATTATCGATATCAATCGAAATGGTTTTGAAAAGGTTTTATTTTTAAACCATGTGTAGGAGGGTTTCCACCTGTTGGAAAAATTAAATTTTACTTGAACGAAGGGAGTTAGGTAACTGGAATGTGTATCACAAAATATTTACTAATTTGAATATTACAATATGGGCAATATGGAAAAGGCTTAATTTCCTAATTGCATGTTCCTCTTTACTAGAAAGAAACTACTATGTTTTTAACTGAGTTTAAATGTGTTGAGTTTATTTAGAAATAAATTACACGGAATGTAACTCGCAGAAGCTCCATACACTCAGCGAAGCGGGTGAGGGCAATCTAGTCTAGAAAATTTCTGGGTTTTAAAGAGCTCAGCTTTTCGTTTGTCAGCTCGCCGCTGCTAAAAGTCGCATACCTAATCTTTACAATGCAGGAAGCCTCGAACCCTTCTAGGCATTTCTAAGCAAAATTTTCGGCCAGTTACTATAGCTAAAGCTGGTTGCGGACCAAGGACTGCCTGATTTAAACCAAATGCCCTGGTGTCTTATTACTTCTGATTGACCTGGGGCACAAATCGAAACAAATTCGTTATGTTTTTCCAACATAATTTAGTTTTGTATCCAGAATTACTCTTAGCTGCTCAACCATCCAATCTTATCTTTCTTGTGAAGAGTTTGGTTGGGTTAGATTAGGTATAATAGTAACCTCATACGTTAAGTTGCAGTCCAAGGCAATTCATGTGGTGGCACTCAACGTACCCTTACAAAAGAAATACGAAATAAATAGCTTAAGGGGAAGCGCTGTTGACGTCACTGTACTCACTGAGTCCTGGAAAGAAATAACCTTTTTGTAAGCTTACGAGAAGAATGGACGAATATTCTTTAGGCATTATATATGTATATTCCAAAGGGTTTATTACGAAGGTCTCAAGATATTCAAAGCCAATGTTAATCGGCCAAAAAACTACATACCTTCTCAGGCTATGCGATCTCCATAATTTTATATGTCATAATCAAGGTTTTCAACGTAATATTGTCATGAATATTTTTATAAACACCGGCCATAAACTTGCGCCTACTCAGAGACCTCAGAGAAGGCATTCACAATGAACAACCCAGGTTCTGACAGTTTGACGTAAACGGAACGAGCCGGATTTTTATCTGACTACGGGCTCTCACTGCATCATCAGACCCCAAAACCTCTGGCAAAATTTTATGTTGTTAAAACAACAACAACAGGTTTCTGTCTAAACCAACACAGAAACCTGTTTAAGAAGGGTTAAAAGTTGGACTTTTTGGTAAGAAATGTTAATTATTTAACGAAATGGTCTGTATTTACTCCAATTCCTTAAGTCTCAAGAGGGTTTTCGATAAATAAAAATTCCAATAAAAAATTCCCCAATAAAATTGTTTATAGAACATGTTCGTAGAATATCTTTAATCCTTTAATTGTAAGTTTTTCAAAAGTTGCGACAAAAGGACCAGATGTAGTAGGAGTTAAAGGGTTAGTACCTTCCACAAAAAATTACACACAAAATTTTACTATAGGTCTCTATAGGTTTTTATATAGGTCTATTTATCGAAATTCTTTAGTAAAATTAGAAGGGAAGAAATTTAGTTGAAGGATTAAAAAAAGAACCCTGAAATGACTAGACATATCACTATTTAATAAAATAAAATGTCTCCTCTTGTCTTAGGCTGCGATCTGCAGTTTAAAGTTACAATCCGTGCTTGGTCATGGACGACTGATGGATCCACCCGCGCGCAATGCCATGTGGCGCTTTGGATTTCCAAATGCGGTAAACTACAATGACAACGAACTCTTCTGCGGTGGATATGCAGTGCAATGGGAACAGAATGCGGGGAAATGTGGGGTGTGCGGTGATGCGTATCATGTGAAAACGCCGCGCCCACACGAGGCGGGTGGTGAATATGCGAAAGGGATAATTTCACGGTACTACGCGGCAGGGCAGGTGAGTAAAAAATATGATTATTTTAGCCACTAGGTGGGATCTTCATTTGTTTTTTTCTTTTTTTGTATTTTTCTAGGAAATCGACGTAGAAATCGAACTTACTGCCAATCATTATGGCCGTTTCGAAATGTTCCTCTGCCCCAATAACAATCCACGTCGTGAGGCTTCACAAGAATGTTTCGATCGCTTTCCAC